GAAGTCTGTGCCACCAAGATGAAGGATCTGGGCTAGCAGGCTGAGGGATCTGCACTGGAGTCAGGAAGCAATGCTCAAAGTAAGAACCAGAGCTTCCCCTAAAAGTACCATAGCCATCCTTAGTAACAATAATGTCCCAAGTTCCTTCAATGATAAGAACAGCCGAGTTCATCAGAAAAGCCAGCATAACAAGGTCCTCCAAGAGAATCAACAGCAGCCCTAGGAAAGCCAACAGCTCCAACAGCTCTCAACAGCTTCCTTCTTTTTCTCCAGTTCTCCCTTTTATTTTGTTGACAACAACCCTCAGGTGGGCTCCTACACCCAGCACCACACTGGTTCAGTTCAGCTGGCTAAGTTGACCACCAGTTGTCAATTACCACAGTTACCATTTGAAGTTAATCACTAATAGAGCAAAACACAGATGCAGAACTTTCTAGAGAAGAAGTGGAGAGAAATTTAAAGGAACATACAAAGCACAGTTAGTGTAGAATAGGAGAAATGGGAAACAAGAAAGTTCAATTCTTCTGCAAAGCTTCCCCTCTCCCCAATATCTTACTATGCTGCCTAGGCTGGTCTCAAACCTGTGGGCTCAAGTGATCCTTCTGTCTTGAGGTAGAATAGAAGAAGTAAAGATAGATAAAAAGGAGAGGAGAATCAGAATTTTTTAAATTCTACTTTTAAAAATCCCTACAGCTTCAGGACACAAAAGCCACCATAAAGTGGGACAATTCCATTACACCTGAAAATAGGCTTTCTTTATTCATTAACATTCATTAACATTCATTATTCATTTCTTTATTCATTAACACCCCATTTCTTCGACTTGTTAATTGCACTTACTCAATCCTCAAGGCAGCTGCAGTCGGTAGCAGTTGGTAGCTATCTCAACGTCAAGTGCATGTAAAGGGTTGGCATTCAGACGTTCCCTGCCAAATGGGTATCCTGACAGTGTGGTAGGAATACACGTCCCACATCCCACAGGTCTTGCTCTGGGAGCAGAGTCAAGGAAACTGCAACAGGTAAGGTTGGCTTAGGAACCTCCTTGGACCCGGCCCAGTAATAGGCTCAGGCTCCCAAGTTGCTGATACTGCAGTCCTGTGCCACAGCAGTTGGCCAAAAAAAGTTTAATTTGAACAAACTATAAAATAAGATGACTGGGGAATGAGTTGATCATCCTGCAGCGATTCTCCATTCTCTCCACGAAAAATAAAACAATCATAAAACTAACTAAAAGGAAAAATTCAATTACACTGTTTCAGGAGGTATCTTGTAGGCAGATAATAGAGACTGGTCAAATTATACTTGAGAACTGTAAATACAAATAAAAGTGGAGGCAGGAATATATCTTGCAAAGGATGCTTCAGTGTAAAAAAAAAAAGGGAAGGCACAGAACCATGTAGAACTTATCAATTATATTTTTAGGAAACAAAAACAGATTTTGGGAGTGCATCTGATAAAACCCCCATGCTGGCACTGTAGCTGGGATTAAGTAAGGACAAAAATCAAGACCAGAGAAGCCTCTGGAAAACAAACAGGCATTCTGTCTCCTTTGGATTCTTTCTCTGTTGCATCCAGGGTGAGAACTGCTGCTCTGCCAGGATGAGCAGCCAACTGGGGCTGTGAACTGAGCACCAGAAAAGAGTTAGTGGGACAGAGTTTAAGAAAGGAAGACACTTTAGTTGTGAGGAACAAAAAGCAGAAGACAGGAAGCTGCTCCCAAAGAGGACCCAGGCTGTCCTGGGAAGATGGAGTCCCCTGAGTCTTTTTCCTTGGCTTCTTTTCTCAGGACTAGTCACTCTCCACCTTGTGGATACCTGTAACTCATCACAGTCTGATTGGCTGTCTGGCTGCCTTTGACTTTAACATAGGTACCTTTGCCTATGTGTACATTCCTTTTGGTGGACTTTGTGTGATTCCCTCCTGCCCTTTAGTGATGTATAAATTGGTGGCAGGCAGGAAGGCAGTTTAAAGTTAGTGATTAAGTAAGGGAATGTGTGTGTATCTAGTGAAGTAAGATAGTGACCCTAGAGTGAGAAATGCACACATAAATTCATGGTGTAGAACTCAAATCAGATACAGCTCTCCCAGCATCCAATTTGTTAGCTAGCAGAGGCATTATTCTCACCAGGGATTCAGCTCAGCACCAAGGCTGTCATCAACAAACACAGGATGCTGTAAAAGAGATAAGATAGGCTAAGGAATCTTGTAGGTCTGCGGATATCTGGAGACATCCGAAAATTTACACCAGATGGCTCAGAGATTCTGCCCACTGAGGTGCAAGACATTTAGAGAACTCTGACCGATGTTTATTAACATCCTCCCACCTAATGTCCCTGCCTTTTTTCAATCACTGCAAAAAAGGCCTGCTTCTCTTTGTTCCCTACAGACAGCCTTATCGCCCTCTGTCTGCCTGCACCCAGGTATGAAACCTTATGCCTTCTTGCATTCATGAAAGCCTGGTGAATGGTCTCTGCCTCATTCCTGTTCCTTACACATTGATATATGTATTTTCATATACTAAGTAAGTCTTAGGTGGCTACCCCATCTCTTGTATCCTTTCCATTTTATTGGAGTAGGGAGCAGTTATGCTTTTTGTTTTGTTTTGCTTTGCTTAGTTCATGCTTCTGGCTTCCTTCTGTGCTCAGCTTATCAACTCTCTCTCTTGTTTATTGCTCTCTCCAGTAAAGTTTTGACTGTTTCTGGTCAGGATGAGCCAGAAAGCCTAATGAGATGCTTATTGTGTTCTTTTCCCTACATTTCCTTGAAAATCAAGTTGTGCAAGTTTTGCCCACAGTGCTAAGAAGAACGCCACTCAAGTCCCAGGCTAACAAGTACTCTACATGAATAACAAGTAAAGATACCAAGAAAAACCTGCCAGTCTGAATCAAAGCATGGCATAGAAAACTTATAAAGCTTCTGGTACTGGAGAATACTGCTGCAAACTAAGTGAAGGAAAAGCCCACAAAAATTGAAAAATGTGTGTACCCAAGTGAGACTATTTGAATGAACAGAGACATATGCAAACAAGAACAAGCACAGCCTTTGTATTTTAGGATCATAAACTCTGGAGATGTGCTAGGGTTTAATCTAGGTCCTGCAACTCATCAACTGAATTTATGTAAGTTATGTAAATTCTATACTACAGATAGCCAAATTAGGCAGAGATTGATAGAGGCAGTTAGAAAGGGACCAGGCCCAAAAGAGAACAGAGATGAGGCAAATCACCTGTGGCAAGGGCTGAGGTGATAGAAACTAGACCCCAAAATGGAGGTATGTTAGCTGAGTCCGCAAACCTCCCCAGAGATTAAAAAAATACCTCAAAGCTGTACTGTGACTAGCACATTTGGTCCCATAAGCCTAAACACTATAACAAACACATAAACAATATAACAAACACCATAGATGACCAGAACATGCTGACTCTCACTCCTACCCCTCCAGAAATTCCTTTGTTCTTCTCCATGCTATGTATCCTCTATGACCTACTAGGTCAATATTAGCTAAGTAACTGTACTTGTAATCCTATAGGTTGATTGTAGTTTGACCCAAGGTAACCTGTGATGTGATTTTACTTCATGAAAACCCCTTGACAAAGAGCTTCAATGACATCCACTTTTGAGACCTCTCCTATCTCTTGGGAGCTTTCTCTTAACAACTTTTCCTACTCTTAACCAACTTTGTCCTCAACTATATTCTTCAGCATCCTGAGACATGAACTTGGCACATCTCACAGGTTACAAGTCATTTGTGTGTAACATCTACAGCTTCAACTTTTGTCACTTGTAAGGTGAAGTTCATTAGAACAGTGCCCACTTTATTGTGCCCACTCCAGGTCAATTGTGTCAATGTTTAAGTGTGAGGCTGAGGATGTAACTCAGTGGCAGAGAGCTTACCGAGCTTGCTGGCCTTAGGTTGCATCACCAGTACCATTCAGCTGGACATTATAGCACATGCCTATAATTTCAGTTACTTGGGAAGTTGAGGAAAAAGGATCACAAGGTGGAGGTCAGCTTGGGCCACCAGGTGGTACCATGTATCAGAATAAAAATAAAAAGAGCTGATGATGCAGCTCAGTGCTACAGTGCCCCTGAGTTGCATTCTTAGTACCCAAACAACAAAAAATACCATTTAATTTTTGAAGTTCTGCAAAATTAATTTAATTGGCAAGCTGAGTCTAGAGCTTATTGAGAAGAGTAAATAAACATATGTGACTCCGTTGTAAAATATTGACAAGAAGATTGACAATGAGTTTGCTCCATTAGAGTGTCACAGTGATTATGTAGTGTGGCACATGTCAAAGAAAAAGTCAACATATTGAAGGAGAAGAATAGAATCAGGAGAGAAAGTTAATGAGGGCCAGAAGTGAAGCTCAAATAATTCTAGTGAGCTACAAATTTCCATAATTACACTCTCGGTGCACAAAATAGTAGTAATGTTATTAAATGTTAAAAGTTTACATATTATTCTAGAGAACAACAAACTTCCTTAATTATATTCTTGGTGCACAAAATATTAACAATATTATTAAATGTAATAACTTTTTTGGTTTTACAGAGAAGGTAGACATACAGAAACAATCAGAAGTCTCTTTTCATGTCTCATGGATTAAGGGGTCCGGTCTGCTTCTATAGACTTTGCTTAATGAACAATTTTTGATCTTATATAATTAGCAGAGAGTAAAAATGAATAAATGCTGAAGGCACTGGAGGTAGGTAAAGTAGATTCCATATGATTATCATGATCAGTGGGACACAGATAAAGCTCTGACTTCAAAATTATAAGGTTTTGTTTTCCCTTTAATTATGGCTTCTTATTTAATATTGAATTTTTTGTGGTGGGGATCAGCTCTTCCATTAGAGGCTAAGATGAAAAAATCCCATAGAGAAAAACTAGCTTCTCCTTAGTTTAATAGTTCCTGTTTGGCTATGTGCAGCCAACCATCTGCAACCATAAACTCCCTGCTGCGGAACTGGCAGGAAACAAAGAAATAGAAAAGCGTACAAGAGTCACTTATGTGAGCACAGAGATTCTGGCAGCCTGTCTGAATTGAGACCATAATCCTCTTCTGAAATCAGTCTAAAACGGAACTATTCACAATAAACATGAAATTAAAACCCTGAGGTAGTAGTGACCCAAAAGGAATGTGAATTCTTCTTCAGGACACAAAGACCCGTGGATGAACTGTGTTTCTAGATTTTTACTTCGGCTTTCCTGAGAGTAAGTGAACCTCTACATTGTTTATTTTACATTTGTAAATATAAAGTAAAACTAGAAACAGAAATACCAAAACATGTGGATGAAAATCATTAAATGCAGTGAATTACTACTCATTTTGATTTTTCAAAGCACAGGAGTATTTTATAGTGTATGACTAAATAATCAGCTGGAAAATTTTTCATTTTACCCCATGGCCAAAGGCAATTTAGACAAATAGCACATCTAATAAAATAGCCTATTAGATATATTGAAAGGAATGTGATTTTATGCTACCTCTTTGCAAACATGTAATATTTCCAAAATTAGAACTATTTATTTTGTATTGTCTTTAGTTTTACTGTTAGAGGAATTATCAGCATTAAAGGACACAAGAGTTTCTGAGTTTCAAATTGTTTTAACTGACGAGAATATTTTCATTAAGAAAACTCAGATACTTTCATTAACTTTGTAATACTTTGTTGATCATAGTAAATAAAGAAGAATTTTTATCTAGTTTGTTGTGTAATGCATTTATTCCCTGAATATCAGGAATTCTATCTGACTGAGAAATGACTGGCTCTTATAACCAATTTATTATTTTTAAGTTACACAATTTTTCCTATTTAGTACACTGTAAGTGATCTACATGTTTGTGTGACATCTAGGGTAAGCATTGTTGTTTTTTTTCTTGATATTTACATCAAGATAGGTAGTAGAAAAGATTAATCTTAACTGAAACAACCACATTTATGACAACTAGATCATATAATTTTTATTTTTATATTTTCTAGAACATATATTAACTTATAGAAGAGTAGTCATTTGGGCAACATATTAGACACTTGCAGATACCAGAACTTGTCATGGCAAGGATTTCTCAATGGAAATGTGCAGTTTGGTTTTACTTGGGGTTTCCAGCTATTAGCGCCTCTGGAGGGCATTGTTATGGGGAGCTCATCAGTGTAGCTGGGGAATTCAGCCATAACGAACCATAGAAAATCTTTAATTTTCCTATTTTCTATGTACTTGTTTTTGGATTTCTATGTCATTGTGCTTGTGTCTGTTTTTCTTGAATTATAAAAAGTGAATGAAGGATTTAGCCAATCATACTCCTGAGGTTGTAACACACAGAGAATCTGTCTTGTTTTGATTATTTATTTCCTTTAATTTCTGGCACCTGTTTTACACCTGGTCTCCATTCCTATTTCCCCCAGTCATAGGTGACCTTTTTGGGATTTTTGGTATTTAATGCTGATCCTGTAGTTCCTGGGTATTTTTGCTTTTAGTTCCCTCATAGTATTGTTTGGACAGTATGCTTTAAAATTTGTTTTACAACACCATGCCACAATCATCTACATTATGGAAAAAATCCATGTTCACCTTGATGAACCGATAGGAAAATTTTTCCTGGGATACATATCTAGGAGCAGAATTGATCAGTGATAAGATACTGCTTTCTCATAATGTAAATGTAATAAATCACCTAAATGACTAAGTCTGTACTTCTACCATTAGCACATAGCATTCTTTTATCCCCCTTAGACAATTTAATTGCCAAGTGCTGTGGAAACAACAACTCCCAGTGCTATTAAACTCTCTACTTTCTGTCAGTAGGATGAAAAATAAATACTCTGTCAGTTGTTCTAATTTTTATTTCTTTTAATCCTGAGGCTGAGCATTTCTTTCTTCTGTCTCTTTCTTGCCCTTTACAAAAAGTCTTTGAGCATTCTTCTTCTCTAAGCGTGCAATTGGAAACAGCTGTTAAAATGTTTCTTTTTTTGTTAGATTGTGCAATGTTTTCTATTGGAGACATTCATAGTTACTTCTTTACTTCATTTTAAAAATAAACAGGTCAAAATGAGCAAGAGGCACATAAGTGTGGGTCAACAAATGTGGACTCTTCTCTGCAAGAACTGCCTTAAAAAATGGAGAATGAAGAGAGAGACCTTGATGGTATGGTTCAGAGTCTGTGTTCTCTTATTTAGAGCGGAAAAGTATTTTCTCAGCAACGCAAACACTTTAACTTCATCACTTAATGCTTTCTGTGTATTCTAATCCTAATTAGCAGGCTAGATTTTTTCCAGATTCTGGATTCTGCTATTTTTCAAATTGAATTTAAAATATGTGATTATTATGTCTTACTGGAAGTTCTTTTAAAAGCATTCATATTCAGAAATTCCCTAAAAGAAATGAAGCTGTATTTCTATAACGCAGAGAGAATTCTTCACATCTGAGCTCATTTGAATTTTTTTTATTTTATGGAAAAAAGTAAAAATTTCAAAACAAAATAAAAGGCAAATAACAATAGTTAATACACTGAGTATTATTATCTTTAAGCAGTTACCCAGGGCATAAAAAAATTCTCCAAATGACATTAGCACAAACTTTTCAATGAACTAAGAGAAACTAGTGGTATAACTATCTTGTATTTTTTTCAGTTTCCCTTCCTCCTTTCCCCCATCCTAGTTCCTTTTGAACAATTTTTTCCCATTTCACAATATCTACTGTACATTTTGGACCTTATTTACTCTTTCAGTTTCTCATACAAGGGAGACAATATGATGTGTACACATGTGAGTCTGGCTTATTTCACTTATGAGTATGGTCTCAGGTTGCATCCTCATTTTAATTTAATGAAAGCATTTACACATCACTTCAAGGCCAAAGTCAAAGAAAGAGGCAGAATTTTGTCCAGTTTTTTTTCAGAATTGGCCCAATTTTTTTAAAAAGTCAAAAGAAAATTAATAAAAGTTCAGGTGAAGGACCTGGTACTTATCCTATTACCCAGTACATGCATGCATCAAAATATCACAGTGTACTTCATAAATATGTACAAACACTATATGCCAATAAACAAAAATAGAAAAGACAAATTATAGTGGTTTCAAACAATTGAACTATGGACACAGACAATGTGACAGACAGTGTCAGTCTGAAAAAAATAATGGGCATTTAAACAAACAGGAAAACAAAACATCATTTTAATCTTTTACTTTCATCAAAGAGTACTTATTTTTATTCTAACAATGATTAGATGTGCTTTGTATAGAAAATTCAATAAAGGCAGAAAAATATAAGTTGAAATCACTCATAAGATGCCATAGTTGAAGAGTTGGTCATAGTTGAAGAGTTGACTTATTAAACAGTGTGTGTGTGTGTGTGTGTGTGTTCATTCGAGAAGTACACACTGAAGCTTGGATTGTAAGTAAATAAAATATACAAAAAAAATCTCTGCATGGAGCAAGGATTATATAAATATGGATATAAAAGCTGAGGTCATACTGTATATGGGTGTTTTACATCCATACTTTTAAATCCTTTTAAATAGTCATTATATCTATCTTTTGTCTATGTAGATATAGACATAGATCAACAAACATAGATAAAATGGTATGTAATGAATATCATATATCCCTCTTTGTGAAAGCCTATGTTTAGAATTATAACTAAAATAATAACACGGCTTTTTATCACTTCAAATGCATTCTCTTGTACTTCCAATTCTAAAATGTGCTCATGTGACCATTTACAACTTATTGTTATAAGCCATAATTTAGGTCTATCTTCTTCCAAGCTCAGACAGAAGATAAAAGTATGACTTTGCTCCTGCTGATGGATGCTACTCATCTCTTTTATGTTCTCTACTTTTCAAAATGACTATAAGCCGTTTGGCATTCATGGACCAATCCAGCTTTGCCTTAAAGAATGATTAACCTAAGATTCTCAAACATAATTGATATTGATGTCATATCTGTCTTGGACAATGTGTGTATTTCAAAATGTGCAGATTAATTAGAAAAGTAAAGCAAAACATTTAAAATAGGAGAAAAATAAAATAGAATGCAAACCTCATAACTGAATTCAGTAGTTTCGGTTGTTTGTGGTAGAACACCTATTGATTTGCTTCATTTTTCTCTCATTGCTACGTAGGAATGGTTTTTCTCATTCCTTCTGGTACTATTTGCATTCCTATTTTCTTCTGATTTACATCAAGTCAACGACTCTTCTCAAATGCCTTCAATGGATCTGGGACGTGTAGACAATTTCAATGATTCTAATTATATTATTGCATTTGCTCCTGCCTCCAAAACTATTCAAGAGATCATGAGCAAGGTAGCTTCAGCCCCATTCATGAAAGGTATGTTTCTGGAAGTTCATGATAATGTTCTTATTAGGAAAATACACAAATTCATTTTGGAATTTCCTCACTAAGTTATGTTACATTTTGATTTTGTAGAGTTTACTAACAGCACTAATGTATACCCTTTTCTGGTATCAAGGGGGTTTTCTGACTCCATTGACTAGTGTCATGTTTAGACAATTCTGTGTTAAAGGATTATTATTCTTTTTAGTCCATATTAACATGAGGTGAGCTCAAGGTTATTTAAATTATATTTTAGAGAAGATGCTGGAAAGATTGGAAGTGATGCATGGTTTTTTAATTTCATCAAATACATATAATTCTAAACAGAATCTGAATAGTGATGCCAAATATGCATGGGCAATATTTATAACAAAACAAGGTACAAAGTGTTTCCTTGTATCCCCAAATATAAGCAACTGAGGAAGAAGCACTGACAACCACAGGAGTGTCATGGTGTTCCTCTCTTGGGTGGTGGGAGAACAAGGGAAGCAATGGAGTAGTGAAGGACCAGAGGAAAACCCCTTAGGAAATAATGAGAATCCATTGGAAAACAGATACAGACAATCCAAGAACAGCAACTGAAGTCATTGTTAATAATTATACTGGGAGTGCAGTATTAGATTGCTATTGTGAGTATATGCTTGAAGAGGAATAGACCAAATAGAGAATTATAAAACAATCTCATTCTTTGGCCTTGTGTCCTTGAAAGTCAATCACCTGGGTATGAAGAAAGGACATGCAAGCGTAGAGTGATAGTGTAGACCTATAGAATCCAGCACTCTGGGAGATGCAAAGGTCCTAGGTTCAATCCCAGTACTGAAGAAAAGAAGAGGTAGAGGTCTGGGACAGGAATCTTATAGAATGAGAAATCTTGTAGTTCAAGAGAGCTTAGGAAACCATAAAGAGCTTATTAACTATGTTAAAAGGATTCAAGAGCTAACTTGTCTAAACTTGAGATTCAATATGTGGAATAGTTATAATTCAAAATTGTCAAATAGAAATTTATCTCTGCTTTCAGAATGAGATAAGTAAAAGGTGAAAGATTATATGATCTGAAGAGAAACCAGAGTATTCAGAGTGATATTAAAAAGAGAATATAGGGGCTGGGGATTTAGCTCAGCGGCAAAAGCGCCTGCCTGGCAAGCGCAAGGTCGTGAGTTCGGTTCCCGGTACCGGAGAAAAAACAAAAAATAAATAAATAAATAAAAGGAGAATATAATTTCTTTTTAGTTTTTTTTAAATAAAGAAACATAGTTTCAAAATGAAATAATAGGAGGATATCAATGGTGAGTACATTGCACATTGTTACCTCCAAACCAATTACTCAGAGTGTAAGGCATAGACATTTAACCATCCAAACAATATTAGCATAACCTTCCTTTTCAATGAACTGAGTAATTAGTAGTATGTCTTAACTATCATATATATACATATATATGTATATATTTGCTTTTCCATTTCCCTTCCTTCTCTTCTCCTTTCCCCCATCTAGTTTCTCCTTCCTTTTGAAAAGTTTCATCCCATTTATACTATCTATTGTACCTTTTGTATCTTATTTATTCTTTCAGCTTCTCACTCTAGGGAGACAGTATGACGTTTGCACGTGTGTCTGATTTATTTCATGTATAATTATGGTCTCGAGTTGCATCCATTTTCTATAAAAGTCTCAAGTTTATCCTCCTTTATGGCTGAGTAGTACTCTGTTATGTAAAAAGACCATGTCTTTTTATCCATTCCTCCTTTGATGGGCATTTGGGTTGTTTCCAAGATTTAGCTATTACAAATTGTGCCGCTATAAACATGGGTAAGCATATATCACTGAGGTATGATGTTTTCAGTTCTTCTAGGAAGACACCCGGAAGGGGAATAGCTGGGTCAAATGGGGCTTCTAATCCTAGTTTTTCCAGGAATCTCCACACTGATTTCCAGAGTGGTTGCACCAGTCAGTATACCCACCCAGACTGTAGAAGGGCTCCTTTTTCCCCACAGCCCTTCCAGGATTTGTTATTGGCTGATTTCTTGATGATAGCCATTCTTTCTTGGGTGAGATGGAATCTCAGTGTTGTTTTAATTTGCATCTCCTGAATGACCAGTGATGTTAAATATTTTTTCATATTTTTATTTGCTATTTGTATTTCTTCATCAGAGAAGTGTGTATTCATCTCAGATGCCCATTTTGGGGATTGGGTCTTTAAATTTGGGAGGTCAGATTTTTTTGAGTTATCTGTTCTTGATAGTAATCCTTTGTCTGCGGAACGGCTGGAAAATATTTTTCCCACATTATGGATTCTCTCTTCACACTGCCGGTGGTTTCTTTTACTGTGCAAAACCTTTTTAATAAGATGAGATCCCAGTTGTTAATTGTTTGTGATAGTTCCTATGAGATTGAGATTTTATTCATAAAGTCTTGAAGACGTGAATGTCTTCAAGAATTTAACCTATTCTATTTTCCAGCAGATTTAATGTTTCTGTTTTAAAGTTAGATCTTGGATCCATTTTGATTTTAGTTTAGTACATGGTGAAAGATATGGGCCCAATTTTAATCTTAAGCATATGCAGAGTTAGTTTTGCCAGCACCATTTTTTAAAGGGTTATATTTCTTCCAGTGAATGTGTTTGGCTCCTTCATCAAAGATAAGGTGGCCGAGTAGGGCTGGAGTTGTTTATGAATTGTCTAATCTGCTCCATTAATATTTGGGTCTTTTTTTTGCCAGTACCATGTTATTTTATCACAGTAGCTTTATAGTATAATTTCAAGTTAGAGATTGTGATGAAGCCTGACTTGCCTTTGTTGCCCAGAATTGCCTTTGGTAGTCTAAGTCTCTTCAAGTTCCAAATGAATTCTAAGATTGTTTTCTCTAATTCTGTGAGACACGCTGTTGGACTTTTGATTGGAATTTCATTAAATCTGTGTAACAGTTTTGGAAGTATGGCCATTTTCACTACACTGGTTCTTCCTACACCAGAGCAAGGGATGTCCTTCTATTTCCTGATATCTGCTTCAATCTCCTTTTTCAGAATAGCGTAGTTTTCAATGTAGAGATCTTTTACAGTGATTGATTCCTAAGTATTTCCTGTTTTTGGACACTATCGTGAAAGGCGTTGTTTCCCTAGTTTCTCTCTCAGCAAATTTGTTACTCGTGTACAGGAAGAGTACTGATTTTTGAGTGTTGACTTTGTATCCAGTTATTGAATTTGCTTAATAAATGTAGCAGGTTTTTAGTGGAGTTTTTTTTGGTTTTCTATGTAGAGTACCATGTCATCTGCAGATAATGAAAATTTAACTTCTTCTTTTCCTATCATTATTCCTTTTATTTCTTTCTCTTGTCTAATTGCTCTGGCTAAAGTTTCCAGAGCTATGTTGAATAAGAGTGGAGACAGTGGACATCCTTGAGTTGGTCTTGATTTTAGACTGAAAATTTTCAGGTTTTGCCCATTTAGTATGATGTTGGCTATTCTTTTGTCATAAATGGCTTTTATCATATTGAGATAAAGACTATCTATTCCAATTTTCTATAGGGTTTTTATCATGAATGGGTGCTAGATTTTGTCAAAAGATTTTTCTGCATCTTTTGAGATGACCATATGATTTTTGTCCTTGGCTCTGTTACTATGGTGTATTACATTTCTTGATTTGTATATTTTGAACCATCTCTGCATCCCTGGGATGAACCCCATTTGGTCGTGGTGTATAATCCTCTTGATGATTTGCTGCATTATGTTTACCAGTGTCTCATTGAGGATTTTTGCATCTATGTTCATTAGGGAGATTGGCCTGTAGTTCTCTTTCTTAGTTGCATCCTTCTCTGGTTTTGGTATCAGTGTAATACTTGCTTCCAGGAATGAATTTGGGAGTATTGCTTCCCCTTCAATTTCATTAAAGAGTTTGAGAAATGGTGGTGTTAGGTCTTCTCTAAATTTCTGTAGAATTTAGCAGTGAATCCCTCAGGGCCTGGGCTTTTCTTGGTTGGAAGGTTTAAATTACATGTTTGCTTTCATTGATTGATATGGTTTACTTAGGATTTTTATATCTTTTTGATTCAGCTTTGGTAATTCATATGTATCTAGGAATGTGTCCATTTCTTCTGCATTTTTGATCTTACTAGAATGTAAGTTTTCAAAGTAGGTGTAGATGGTCTTCTGGATTTCTGCAGGGTCCATTGTGATTTCACCCTTTTCATTCTTAATTGTGTGGATTGGAGTCTTCTTTTTATAGGGAAACTATAATTTCTTGTTTACATTGGAGGATAATAGCAAATGAGTTCAAACAATGAAAAATTTTAAATAAATGGAAATTCTAGAATGTATCCTATCTGAACTGTACTATTTCATAATCATATATAGAATGGACAAGTGCTATTTTATAAATGGCTTTTTACTAATAAATGAAAAAGGAAGGATATGAATACAGCATCATAATTTTGAAGATTTCACTAACAGTGGATCTAGCCACTGAGCATTAACAGTGGTTAATATCTTAAAAGAGAAGCAATCAGATATCATGAGCCCTGAGAATTTATCACCAGCTATAATCTGACCACAAGGATTAAATCTGACTCTGATTAAGCGTCTGAATGCAGGTGGTAGATTACAGGAAATACAGAAGACAAAGGAAATGTACGGGATCAGGAATATGCCTAAACAAAATCCGCACTGTGAAATTATCTTGGCTAAATGGTCTGAGTTTCATTGTTAACAAATTTTTATATTACATATTTTAGAATAAACAGTTTCCCAAGAAAATTTTTATCATATTTAACAATTTTATGACATCACAGAAAGTCTGAGCACCTTGATATCACAGTCAAATGAAAATAGTTTTGCTGTTAGGTAGGTCTGAATTTAAATGGATGCAATGGAATTGCTACTATTTCTACTTCAAAGTGTTGGCTACATACTTTGTTTTAGAAAGGCAATATTTGCAAAGAAAGTATTGTCCTGAAAGTAAGTATATTTGCAATAAAATTTTGCCATATAACACTTCTGATTTACTCCATAACAGTAGGGATTGTCTGCCTCACCCCTGAGTCTGTTAGACCCAGCACTGCATTTAGGGAAGAAATACCTCTAAAAAATACCTTCAACAGAACTGAACTTGTCATGCTGTCTTTGGGTGACGTAAAAATCTTACTTAACCATTTGCTTTCTTCATATGGCAGGAAAGACAATCATGGGATGGCCTGATGAAAAGAGCATGAGTGAATTGGATTTAAATTATTCAGTCGATGCAGTGAGAATTATCTTTAATGATATGTTCTCATATCATTTGAAATTTTCCTGGGGACATAGAATCCCTAAGGTCAAGGAACACAAAGACCATTCAGGTAATCTTCCTCACAGAAAAAACTTTTTTTTGCTTTTGCTATTACAGCATTAATTACAAGGGGGTGGATGGGACAGCAGAAGCGAAATGAACTGTGCTAACCCACAACGCATTTTCTGAACATAAAAGAAATTTGTCCTTATTCGGTGCAACCTATGTTTCTAAATACATTTTTCATTGTAGAAATAAGAATTTTCATTTTCTATTACTTCTATATTACTCTAAAATAAAGCCCTAATAGAAGGTTCTTTTTTAGTAATTGCTGATTTTTTTTTAAAGTTTAGTGTTTTTTTAAGGGGGGTACAGGAAACAAAAATCTCAACAAAAACATTTTGAGAACAGAATTATAAAATTAGTGAAAAGTCATCGCTAGTTGGTCTTATAAATATTAACAAAGAAATTCTGGGATATTCTTTCTTGGTGGCAGTCTACAAAAGTCAGGGGAGAAGTCTTGCCATATGCCACCTTGTTGTGGATTTTGAATACTTTTAGGAACATTGGCAATTTTGACTTTTCAAATAAGCGAGAGTGTCCCATACTATAATAAAGGGTTTTCTGCTTTCCTTATAGCGCATTGTCAAGTAGTGGATGAAAAACTCACCTGTGAGAATTCAGTGTTTTGGGAGAAAGGTTTTGTAGCTTTTCAAGCTGCCATTAACGCTGCTATCATAGAAGTGAGTATAAGTAAAAGAAAACTAATTGCATTACAAATTAAAGTTTGGCAGATAGAGCCATGGATTGTTCTATAATTTATTCACCTCATAAATGAAGCGCAATATAGCCAACACCTTTTACATTCAAACCATTGTGCAAAGTATTGAGGGTCAGAAAATAAGCACAGGATAGAGCTCTTTCTCCAGAGATCCTGGTGATGAGGGAGGTGGAAATATGATATGTTATATAAGGGCTCAGTAATGGGCTTTCTAAATGGTGTTCTAGGCAAACAAGGAAGTAAAAATACTCATAAAAGAAACATCAGTGAAGATTTACTATTTAAGTACCATTTCAGCCAGTCTCAAAGCATAAGTTGAATTTTTTTCCAGGGAATATGGGAAGAAAAGATGTTCCAGGGAGTCAAGATAAAACCTGAACCAAAAAAAAAATAGTGGGGGCTGGGGATTTAGCTCAGCGGCAAAAGCGCCTGCCTGGCAAGCGCAAGGTCATGAGTTCGGTTCCCGGTACCAGAGAAAAACCAAAAAAAAAAAAAAAAGATAAAACCTGAAGTGCTTTGGGGGAAAAGAGGTGCCAAGACACTTATGTATGATGCATACATGATTCCTTAAAGTCAGTGAAAGAAAGGCTGGGGATTTAGCTCAGCGGCACAGCGCCTGCCAGGCAAGCAGAAGGTCGTGAGTTCGATTCCCAGTACAGGAAAAAAAAAAAAAAAGGGAAAGTCAGTGAAAGAGCACGAAGCTGTGTTAACTGGATGATGATCATTTTTCATTAATATCTTTCTGCAGCTCGCAGTAAATCGCTCCGTGATGGATGCGCTGATGTCAGTGACGGGTGTGAATATGAAGACACTTCCTTTTATCGCTCAAGGAGGAATTACCACTGATTTTTTCATTTTCTTCTGCATTATTTCTTTTTCTTCACTTATATGTCATTTATCAGTCAATGTTTCAAAAGAAAGACAATACATTAAACCGCTGATGACAATGATGGGCCTTCGGCAGTCAGCATTCTGGTAAATCATATGCCTAGAATTCATTATTCAGCGTAAACAGAATGACTCGGCTGAATAGTCTTCTCAGGTCTATAAAATGGCATATTTAGACTAGATGCTTTCATAAGGTAGTGTGTATAGATGAATGAGGTGGACCTACTCACTTGTTAAATGGAACTGTCTGTATTTCTCCAAATTTAAAGAAAGATATCTGCCTTGTAGACGTCTTCGACCCTCAGGTACTGACGATACATGGATAACTCTCAGTTACTAGTAACCAGGTCTGGGTGAAACCAAACGTATAAGAAGTTGACATCTCCAATGAGCAAGGAAGTATGTATTTCAGATACTATGTTAACAGTGGTGCTTGGTTTCCACTCCAGGTTGAATGAGTCATCACTTTTATAACACCGAGAAAAGAAAGCAGTCATGCTCTTTGAGAGCTGAACTTCGCTAGGCTAAAGCAGTACTGCTGAGTAAGAAGACACACGCTGGTGACAGGAAGCTAGGGAGGTCTCCACCTCAACATTTAGTTGTTCCTACCTTGCACAAGTTATTTCAGCTCTTTCAGCTTCAGTTTTCTGTTTTCTAAACCAGTGGTGATATTATTTATTTATCCTTGGTCATGAAGATGAAAGAAAGAAAAGTGTTTAAACTTCTGCACAGAATGCTTAGGAAATGTTATTCCATAAAACTTTGGGAAACAGTATGTCCTGAGAAGACAGTGGATGCAAGTGAGGAAACTAAGGCTTGGCCAGTGAGTGTTCATAGGGGCTGGGGATTTAGCTCAGTGGCACAGCGCCTGCCTGGCAAGCATGAGATCGTGAGTTTGATTCCCAGTACTGGAAAAAAAAAAAAGAAATAGAGAAGATAGATTGCTGAGCTGGTGCACAGTGGGAATTTTTGTTATTGTCTTTGTTTTCTGTGCTAAAGTGTTGTATCTCTATGTTGAAGGGAACTGCGGGCACTATATTTTAAAAGACTATGAAAATCTACAAAGAGTTGGAGAAAAATAACGAATATGATTTAGGAAAAGTCTAAATAAATGAAGATAAGGAGAGATTAGAAAGCCAAGGCTTTTTCTACTCCCATGAGAAAAGGCTGAGGTGTTTTATTTGTATAGCATTTGAATGATATTAAGAGGAGGCTTATAAAAACACATAAATGGACAATTTCCAGAGAACGAAGTATATTATGAAAATAGAAACATTACAATTGGGCACTAATAATTATACTTTGAGGGCAGGTGAGAGAGAGCTCACACCTGTAATTGCAGCTACTCAGAAGGCTGAAGCAGGAGGGTCACCAATGTGAGCCTGGCCTGGACAGTTTAGTGAGACACTGTCTCAAAAAATAAACAAAGACATAGTTGGTATGAGAATGTGAAGGTATAAAGGCCCTTGGGTTCAACCCTGGTGGGAGAGTGGTTGTGTAGCCTTACGCCAGGGTTGGATTCCCATTACAGTGAAAAGAGAAATTTCTAAGAAATGGCAAAATCAGACTTCCCAAAACATGCTGGCATTTTCTACTTTAAATGAAAAGAAACCACCTGTTCGTTGTGAACCTACTATAAACCATTTGCCACATTAAATCCATAAAATACCTAATTTCATTTAATTATCTTATTAATTTCCAATAGGGAAAACTGAAGTTCAAAGGGATTAAATAACTACCTCTCAGCATTTTCTAATTATGAGATAGCAGACAAAACTTGAACCCAGGTCTATGTAATTAAAAAGCTTATATTCTTTCCCCTGTACAGAACTTTCTTTCTCTTTTTTTGGCATTAATAGTAGGAGGAAAAACGCACCTTGATATCCATGTATTTATCTATATCTATTTATGCCCTACATGCAAATCTGCATCTACATTAAACATTTATATCAAAGATTGGCAATTATGGCCTATTTTTGTACAATCTTTAAACTAGAAGTGGATTTTCCTAATTCTGGAGGAAAAAAATAAAAGAATAATAATGTTAGCTGGGCATGGAAGCACATGCCTATAATCTCAGATACTCAGGAGTGTGAGTAGGAGAGTCCCAGGTTCAATCCCAGCCTGGACAATTTAACCACTTAGTGAGGCCCTGTCACAAAATAAAGAATTAAAAAAAAGACCTGGGGATTTAGCTCAGTGCTAAGGCCTTGAGTTCAATCTCCAGTACTGCAGAAAAACAAAGAAAAGATTTTCTGACTCCTGCTTCCAAGTTTCTACAAGTACTTTACTAGAAGAAGGTATCCGGAACTGACAAATAAGCAGAGATAGTTTCCTTGAAACACTCTTTCCAGACACCTTGCCTATTGTATCATCCTGTTTATTTTTGTTGTTGTTGTTAATTTGTATTTAGCTATTTAGGTTACCTGTTTACCTGTTTATTGCTTACCTTCCCCTACAATATATGAGCTTCTGATTTGTTAGCCACTGCATTCCTTTCATCCCTGATAAACAGTGAGTGTCATAAATCTTTTGCTGAATAAGCGATGATGTAATAGCACTCTGAGCCAACTCTGTGTTTCTCTGCTAGGCTTTCCTGGGGCTTCATGTATTCTGGCTTCATCCTTGTCATGGCTATTTTGATGGCTCTTATTGTAAAATCTACCCAAATTGTTGTGCTAACTGGCTTCACCGTGGTCTTCATTCTCTTTTTCCTGTATGGCTTGTCTTTGGTAAGTTGGTGAATTTTCTTTCTCTCTCCAATTACGTGGCACTGATTTTGTTTTCACCTGTTATGTTGCATTTGCAGTATTTACATAAGCCCTGTATGGAGACAGTTTCCAATCCAGAGTTGATGAAGTACAGTTCTGTTTTACATTGTTGGGTTTTGGTTTTGGCAGTGCAAAGGATCAAACTCAGGGTCTGGCACATGCTATGCAAGTACACATTTATATATTGTATTAGTCAGCTTTCTGTCACTGCAATAAATGTCTGAAATAATTAACTTATAAGAAAGAAAGCTGTAGGGGCTGGGGATTTAGCTCAGCAGTACAGCATCTGCCCGGCAAGAGCGAGGTCATGAGTTGGATTCCAGTACCGGGGGGGGGGGGGGGGGGGGAAAGAAAGCTCTATTTCAGGTCACAGTTTTGGTGGTTTCTATGCAGGGTGGATTGTTCTTTTTTCTTGGGCCTAGAACGAAACAGCACATCATGATGGCAGCACATGGCAGATCAGAACTGATCACTTCCTGGTGTGAATGTGAAAAACAGTGGCTCTACCTCTTAACAGTTCTGCTTGACAAGTACACACATTAGGCAGGGAATGAAGGCATTAACACAAGGGTCTTTCAAGGACAATTATTTAAACAGAGCCAATATGAAATTCCTTTTACTGTGCTTCTGAGAGTTCTCCAAGCATTAGACCAGATGAATGTTTTTCTCCTCGCAGATAACTTTGGCTTTCTTGATGAGTGTGTTGATAAAGAAGCCTCACCTCACTGGTTTGGCCATCTTTCTACTTATCATTTTTTGGGGCAGCCTGGGATTCACAGCGCTGTACAGACATCTTCCTGCATTTTTGGAATGGATCTTATGTCTTCTTAGTCCATTTGCTTTCACCGCTGGAATGGCCCAGGTAAGAGTTAAGGTAACTGTTTTATTTATCATGAAACATTCTACACAGATTCCTTCAGTAATTTCATGCAACATGAACTAAGCATTAACATTTCCCTCTCACACTTTTGCAAAGATAAACACTTAAGGGTTACAAGTTTTCATTTTTCTTTCTCAGCATAATTGTTTGCTTCTAAAGTTGCTAATTACAGGGTGAAATTCTATGGTTGATATGATTCACCTTCTACTCCTAATTGGTTGTCCTATGAACATTTGTCTGATTTAAGTTCAGGAAACATAACCCTTAATACCATCACAAATATCTGAAAACCAAGAATTGTAATAAATACTATTTTAATTAGTCATTTCTGCATGAAACTGAAACTCCTCTCAGAAAAGTTCATTTGAGTTATGTCACCATAACTATAAAAATGCCAAAGGAAAGGTTATGTTACATGTGGGTTATATTATGGTTTGATAAGAAAATACTCTTCTGCTGTCCATATAAGGACTAAAGTCCTTTCAGTCCTCTGTGTTTTCACTCTGAAATGGAGACCCCTCTCCAGAACACTCTCTTTTTACTCCCAGTTCTAATCCTGATGAAGTCTTGTATTAGGTCCAGTTTAAATATCACCTTCTGTGTGCCTTTCCCTCCTCTTAGGATATGTATGTACTGTTGCCTTTGAGTTGTAGTTAGATAAGTTGACTGCTGCTGTGCATTACTGTGGATCTGAGCTCTATAAAAATGCATTTGTGATTTATTCATCTTTGCATCCCCAAAGTCTAACAGAAATGAGACAACAATTCTTGATGTTATGCTAATCCTTGATAAATTCTGTTTTACAGCTTATACATTTGGACTATGATGTGAATTCTAATGTCCATTTGGATGCTTCAAACAACTCGTACATAATAATAGCTATTCTTTTTATACTGGTTTTTGATGCTGTCTTCTATTTGGCATTGACATTCTATTTTGACAAAATCTTGCCCAGTAAGTAGCATGATTGTAATTCAACACAATGTCAGTAAGTGCATTTATTTAAAATAAATGTATGCAATGTAGAGACTATCAATTGTCTAGCATTTCCACCAAAAATCTCTAAAACAAGTCTGATAACATTCTGCATTTAGTTTGTAGAATCACTTTCTCAGACATTACTATGACAGTTTGGCTACTTCTTGAAAGAGATGGTGGATAATTTATTCTGCTAATGCTGGATGTCAGAATTAGATGAAGGATTATAGTCCTTGATACTTAGAAGTTTTTAAGAGTTTCCCTGTTGAGCACACATAACAGACATTGGTGGGTTATTAATGAGAAGTAACGGAATATTGAATGTAGAATCTCTGCTATGGAGAAATAAGAGCTCAGAGAGAGATGGGGAGAAGGAAGGAAGGAAAGGAAAGAGACTTTAAAATAGTGTATCCAGAACTGATGTCTAGCTGCTTTTCAAAATGCCATAAAGTAGGAACTTTTGAGATTTGTCATTATTTCTGTGTTATGGACTAGCATATTTGGGGGAGAGAACCTTACTTGGTCTGAGTGGAGAAATCACAAAATTACACTGTATACTGAAACACTGCAGGTCAAAAGTGTGTGAGGGTGAACTAAACAACGGATAAATTTGCATAAAAGACCTGCTTTATTTTGGTGGATTGGAGCAAGGTTGACAGAAACAATACAAAAATGGTTCAAGGTTGTTTAGGTTACTTTTCTCTTGTTGCTGAGACAAAATACCCAACACCCAAATAAAGGAAGGAAATGTTTATTTAGCTCACAGTTTTATCCCTTCTTGGCCTTTTGGCTAAGATCAAGTATAGCTCACAGTTTGTGGTTTCAGCCAATAAGCAGCTGGCTCCAAGGCAGGTGGCAGGGCACAGGGGCAACACTTCAAGGAGGCAGAAGACAGCAAAAGCAGCAAGAGCACAAGGGAGGAGCATGCCTCTTTTCCTCCCTTATACTGTATCTAGACTACCCCCATCCAGGGGGTGTGTAGCACACACATAATCTCCATGCCCTCCTCCTGCACAGGCTCAGGATGAATACAAAGTAAGCACCGTGGCTCCCTGCTGAGTGGCATAGTTAACCTTCTAAACTTCTCAAGTTGACACAATGAACAATATTCCAGAGCAGAAAGGGCGTGTCCTTTTCACCCCAGGATGCAGAACTGCTGAGTCACTTAGTCATGCCTATACTCCTCGAGTTGACACAGTGTATCAACTACAACAAAGGCAAAAAAATTTAGACCAATCTCATATTTGCTCATGACTGTACAATTTAAATGAGCAAGAATAAATCTACTCCAATAAAGATTTATGAGGTAACTCAACAATAACCAAGTGGAATTTATTTGAGCAATACAATTTATTATGATAACAGATTAACAGAAAATCATTCATTCTCTTAATCCATACAAACTAAAATTTGGTAACAATCAACACCATAAATGCTAGTTAAAAGATTTTGCCATTTTAAAATAGAAGAGAACATATTTCGCCTTCACAAGATCAGTCAAATTTTGAAATGTAAAAAACCAGCGATGCCTGAACATTTGGAAATGGGCACAAAATACTTCAATAAAACAATATTTGAAGTTTAAAAAAATGTAGTGACAATGGGACAATAATACATAGAGTTCTGGCACATGAAAAACATTCAGCAAGTGAAATAAATTTGGAAAATAAAAATTGAAGGTAAGATTGTTCTATTAACTTATGCAATAATGTAAACTTTATAGTAAATGGAACACTATAAAGATAAAGCTAAGGTAATATATGTAAGAAAGTAATACCAGGATGTTCAATTATCCTAACTGTGATTATTTTACATTTGTGGCACATATTTAAAATACAGGTTATTATTAAGTAAGTAAAGAAAGATTGACAAACTACTTTTAGTAATTTTAGAGGAAAAATGGATACTAAAGAGGTATTGTAAAAGAAGAGACCATAGATGCATGTACTGCTTTTCAAAAGAGAAAGAAAGTATTTTCACTAGTTATGATTTACTGAGTTTGAAAATTGTCCTGGATGAAGATTTTGTAGAAAGGTACAAACACTTTGTGAGCTCTACTAAAATGGAAATTCTAGGATACGGTATCTACTTTGAGTTTACTGGGGAAAATGATTCAAGAAATATTTATGTTGATTTTACAGGATTACTCAACTAAGTGATCAGAATAAATAACAGATGTGGTGTATCTGAGCTTCTTTAAAGCACGTGAAAATGAAAGTCTTTTCTTTATCCTTAAAGTAAGGAAGCACAGATAGCTTTAAAGTGACATTATTTAAAAAAAATAAAATTCAGTATGCCATCCTAGAAGATAACATTTAAAGGTAGCTGCAGTACAGTTATGTTGACCATGACCAGGTGACATGTTTAACAATACAAAAGACTCATATCTCAAGGCCCAGACATAGTTTAAGGGATTCATTCTGCACACAAAGCTTTGCTCAGATTAATTCTGAGGTTGTTTCTGAATCCAGGTGTATTGAAATTAAATGTGCTTGATTTTGATGATTTCCTGAACAACTAAAGTTCTCTGAAAAATTTTTCAGTTATAACTAGCCAGTTGGTAGATAACTCAAGAGAGATAGACACAGCTAGATAAATGCTGTACAACAGAGCTACAATAATCTCCCTATTATTATAGAAAAAATCATATAAAGCAAATGTTTATATTCTTCTTTCTTCCTTTTAAAAATGATGAAACCAGCAATATATACTTGGTACAATTATTTCTAAGAAAGATAGATAGTTTAACACTTATAATAGTAAATCTAGGTTCAACTCACTGATTATTATTAGAAAAAATATTTTAAAGCACATATTTAAAAAATGATGAAAGCAGCAGTATATACTTAGTAGAATTAACTTGCAAGGTACATAAAACTCAGAAATGTGCTTAATCAATTATCCTTATTGTCCAGTGAAAACTTCCATAGTCTATTCCATTTTTCTCTATTATTTATTAGCATTTCCTAATTTTTTTCTATTCTATTCCTGCTAAGATGAATAATGATCAAAACTGTACTTACATTGATGAGAATTACTAAAGGAAAGTGTTCATTTTTTTTTCTCCATCAATACACAATTTTTTTCATATTGGCAATTAAATTTGGGGCCTCATGTGGGCTAGACAAATGCTGTACAACAGAGCTACAACCTGAACCCTGAGTTGCTTTTAGTTTTAAAAAGTTTCACCTAGGAGGCTGGGGATTTAGCTCAGCGGCACAGTGCCTGCCTGGCAAGCTCAGGGTCGTGAGTTTGATTCCTGGTACTGGAAACAAAAACAAACAAACAAAAAAAGATTAAAAAGTTTCACCTAATTTTGTTGCTCCTACAGGTTCCCTGCTGTTTGCTTATCTTTTTGATCAATCTGGTACTCGCTGTCCTGATGAAATATTGCCACATAATGACCCAGAGCCTGTTTCTCACCATAGCCAGGAACTCTGGGAAACACACTCATGTATCTAAGCAAATTGAAGTGAAAGCTTTTCTTAATGTTAGATTTAAATTCCTCCTACAACATTGCAGTCTGCTTGGAGGCTATTTTTATTTAGTTTATAATGCTACACCCCCATCAGATTAGAAGCATCATATTAGATGGTGACATCTCAGTTACTTTTTTCCTCACTGTTCTGTGTGTGTGAAGCTCACTAAAAGTTGTACTTTAAGGTAACAAGGTTGGTTCAAGTTTAGCATCAAAAGGATTGAATAGACATGTTGCCCTACGGTGGCTGAAATTCTTCAAGTGGTAACTGACCTGATCTTCAATTGCTTCTTGCCATGTAGCCAGATACGGACATCAACACTCTGCCACATTTTTCCTGAAGTCCGCTTTTTGGTGTCAGTATCGAGGAACTAAACACGTGGCACTTGAGAATGAAATCGATTCTGATCCTTCATCCAGTGACTCCTTTGAACCAGTGTCAGCAGAATTCCACGGAAAAGAAGCCATCAGGTAACATATCACACAGACATGCGATGGAAAGCGGGCCAGAGACCAGAGGTTTATTAACAAAACACTGATGTACAAGCACTGCTGCCTGTGTCCCCCTTTCTCCACCTCCAACGAGTCCGAAGCACTCAAGGAAGGCTGCTATCACTCTTAACCACACTGTCTTCTCCCACAACCTCTTCGTTTACAAGCACTAATATCTGTAAGACAGCAGTACCCGCCAACAAATAAATAATACTTGTATTTCCATTTTTCTTGCTGTCTCTCTTGTTTCTCCTTTTTGTGTTTTTCTCTCCCTTCCTCTGCTGCTCTTTCTGTGATAGACAAGGCCATCACCTCCTTTGTTATTCTCACCCCTTTTTCCTCTATGATTCACTTGGGCCCTGTCCTCCATAGCTGATACGGGGAAGACAAAAACGTAGTGCAGAAAAGGGGAGAGAGACATCCAGAAAGATGGGAAGGAAGAGCAGGGTCAGGAGTACTCATGCCTTCCTCTCAGGGACAATGTACATGCTTTGGTCAGTGTTGAGTGCTTTGACCCCCAAGCAGTGAGAAACCCCTAAGGTGCTAGGTCTTTGCTCAAATTTCATTCATCATTCAATGTTGTGTTCACCTCACTCCTCAACAGAGCCCTTCTGATCTACATCCACCACTCTTCTGTTTTGGCACTGAGTCTTCACTAGTCTGTGTTTGGTGCAGGAGTGCATTGTACACCTGTACACCATTACACTTAGTTTCTGTAACCCCAGGTCCAATATGAACAGACAGCAAAGAGTAGTACTCTCTCATTCCTCACGAGCAAGGGTTGCGTTCTCAAAGATTATGATCACCCTTCAAATGGAACATTACATTTTTTGTTCTCTTCTATGCCAAGGAAGGAATCAGACCCCATCAGAGCAGTAATAGAAAACCTTAAATATGGAGTGAAGGCATTTGGATTTACTCAGCAGGTAAAAAAAGGGTAGTGAAGTTTTGTGGATTTTAGGTAACAAGGGTAGCCGTATTCCCTAGAAAGAGAATCTCTAGCAATGAATGGAGGCATTGGAAGCAGAGGCTCACACACCACTGTGAGGACAGTGCAGAAGGTTTGGTTTGTACCTGGGAACCCGAGGTGGCCTGCCTGCTTCATTTGCAGTGCTGCACACTGCATCCAGCAGAGCAATTCACTGTTGTGAAGCTTCATGTCAGTCTGTCTCATGTCCTTTGCTCCAACTCGCTATGAACTCTTAACACAGAAGGCAGAAGAATGAACTGTCAGTTACAATGCACGGCTGTTCCCAACATGGAGTAGGGTCTACCTAATCTAGAATCTACACCTAAACACTGAGTTCCACCAAGACTTATGGAAGAAGCCCACCTTCTTATTGTTTAGATGAAATGAACCGAGAATGCAAGCTGATGCAGATGATTGCCTGAGAAAGAAAAGATCAGGAAAGAGAGACCAGGAAAACCCAAGCAACTTGCCCAAATCTACAGGGTTTAGGAAGAGAGACATCCAAATTGCATGCACCCACTTCAAGGCGACGGCAACTCAGGGACCATTTTCTCCTTCTGTACCAGCCTGGGTGTTACCTATCCTATGGGTCAAATCGTATCCTTCTAAAATTCATATACTGAAACCTTGTGATGGAATTTGGACATGGGTCTTTGAGAAGTAATTAGGGTTAGACAAGATCACAGGGGAAGAAGGATCTTCATGATAGGATTAGTATTTTATAAGAGACACAACAGAGGCCTATGACCATCAAGAAATGACACAACAACAGGGCAGCCTCTTCAAGTCAGGGAGAGAGGCTTCCCCAGAAGCCAAACTGGCTGGCAGCTTGATCTTGGTCTTCCCCACTTCAAGAACTATGAGAAATAAACTCTGTTATTTAAGCCACTCAGCCTATGATAGTTTGTTAAAGCAGACTAAGAAAAATAATACAGCCTAGCTACTGATTTGTTGTGATAATGTGAGAAAAGAAAGCAGATAAAATGCACTGAATCTGACTTAAAGTAGACCTTAGACTCATTTCAAGTGTTTTTCTGTGAACTCTTTTTAAAAAACCTGTCTATGTGTGCGTATGTGAGAAAGAGAGAGAGAGAGAGAGATACAGTATTGAAGGTTCAACTGAAGGCTTTGGACTAAGCTACATCCCAGGCATTTTTATTTTTATTTATTTATTTATTTTTTAATTTTGAGTCAGGCTCTTACTAAATAGCAATGTTGCCTGGGTTGGGCTCAAACTTGCTTCCTCTTACCTAAGCCTCCTGGAGTGCTGGGATTGCAGGCATGCATCACCACACCGAGTTTAAACCTCTTTCTTCTAAATCTCTCTTCTTCTTGACTTGGACTCTCATTTTGTTTGGAGATTTACTGTGTCTCAAGCATTTGCATGTATTATCTCATTTGCTCTACAAATTCTCCTTCTGTGATACTTAATGCTGTTAACCTGCTTCGACTGCTGAAAAACTGAACTCAGTGACTTCTGAGCTTGTAGTGTTTATAAGTGACACAGCCGGCATTTCATACAGAACCATGTGACTCCAAAACCCTCATCCTTCTGCTCGGGTGTCCGGGTTGCGATGTTTTGTTTTGTTTTCCCTCCACCATAGCATCTCCTGACCACTGATTTCCTCTCCAGCTTTTGGCTTCTTCATTCTTCTGCCATAATCCTCACAGCTATATCTTTCTGCATGCTAGCTACCCACCCGCATTTCTAACCTGCTCAGATGGAGGCTGCAGTGATCAAGGGTGCTGCTTCTTGTGAGATAACCGTGGATCCTTCAGTCAGTGCCTGAGTAAATCAAAAGAATCCTCATATTTTCCTGCAGTCTCAAAGTGTTGATTTCCCCATAACTTTCTCAAAAGCTTTCCCTCCTTTGCAGAATCAAAAACCTTAAAAAAGAATATAAAGGACAACGTGAAAAAGTAGAAGCTTTGAAAGGTAATAAACACCGTATTTAACATGGCTTTTTGACTTGGTGACTATGCCTTACTGTCACAGCACCTTGGTAGGAATTAAGAACAGATATTTCAAATATTTCAATATTTGAACGTAAGTGAAAAGTCATATAGTAATTCTTAAAAGTGTGATGTACTATTGAGAATCTTATGGAATTGAAAGATATATGATATCATCATAGACTTCCTTATTTTCAGTTCATCAGATGTGCTTGTGTTAAAGCTGTCTTTACTATAGCCAGTGCTGTTTTAAGAGCAAAACTCTATCATCAGAAAATTGTTAGTCACATAATGGCATGTCATCAGTAATGCTATAACTTGAAAATATTTATCATAGGAGATGCAATTTAAAAAGGAAGAATCTGAAGATTGACTGTATGTTGAATTTGCGTACTTATAAGAAACACATGAATTTCAGAGACTAAAGTGACTCTGTAGGCTCTGAATGCAATTTTTCTGAAATCATGCCAGGTCTGGTGCTTGACATATATGAGGGCCAGATCACCGCTCTCCTTGGCCACAGCGGAGCTGGGAAAACAACCTTGTTAAACCTACTTAGTGGGCTGTCTGTCCCAACATCAGGTGAGAGGACAGTTATCTAAGGATAAGTTTGAGAGCAAAGGAATTAACTACGAATTTCATCACTTGACTTCAATAGTCTCATTAACTATTTGTTACATCGGGTAATGAAAAGAAAATTTCAGAAGTTTATTTAAATATTATACAATGTATACGTACACATTATATGGTACCTTTTCAGTATGTATAATTTTTATGCTTTTATGTATCTGTTTTTTTAAAAAAACAATTTTAGGAGTTCAAGTTATTCTTATGGAATTAAATTGCATTTGTTTAAGAAGATATTGCCTTTTAAATATTTTGCTAATAGCTTTATTATATTGAGTTACTGATTAGCATTCCTGCTAGATCAGAGGTTATTCTGAACATGAAATTTTTAAGCAATCAACTATATATTGCTTACAAGTTGAATATATTTAAGTGTATCTAGTAATTCGCATATATTATCTTACATTTTAAAACATCTTCAGTGCAACATGATGCTTTGTTCTGATGGTAACTCTCTGCTTTGCACTTATAGGTTCTATCAGCATCTATAATCACACCCTTTCAGAAATGGCTGACTTTGAAACTGTCAAAGACCTCATCGGAGTCTGTCCACAATCCAACATACAATTTGGCTTTCTCACTGTGAGAGAAAATCTCAGGCTGTTTGCTAAAGTAAAAGGGATTTTGCCACATGAAGTGGAACAAGAGGTACGTGAGCTGTCACACAGCCATGAAAATGAAATGGCTGATCTAGAAAATTCCAAATGTGTTTGTGTTCTTTGTACCCAGTTCATCATCTAAAGCTTAGACAAAAAGGCCCTCTCTAAGAACAGAAAGAAAATAATATTGTTTTCAAAATAAACATTTTGAATTTTTGGACTAAATGCTCTTTATTTGGTTAGGTACAGCAAATTCTACGGGACTTAGAGATGGAAAATATTCAGGACCTTCTCGCTCAAAATTTAAGCGGTGGTCAAAAAAGGAAACTAACTTTCGGGATTGCCATTTTAGGAGATCCCCAGGTAAACTGAAGTAAAACTATTGGTGACATCAAATTTAAGACCATGGAACTATTATATGAGATCAGACAATTTGCAAACAATAAATGTGAGACTTTTTCAGTGAAACATTAAGTACTAAGTTGCTTCTCCTCAATACTTTTACAAGTATGGCACTTTTTAGAGGACCCTTATCTGCTAAGAAAAATTATTTTATCTTCTTTTTTTTTTTTTTTTTTTTTTTTTCTCCAGTACTGGGAACCAAACTCACGACCTTGCGCTTGCCAGGCAGGCGCTTTTGCCACTGAGCTAAATCCCCAGCCCCCTATTTTATCTTCTTTTCTACTGCTCAGGTTTTGCTGTTGGATGAACCAACTGCTGGGTTGGATCCTCTTTCTAAGCATCACATATGGAATCTCCTGAAAGAGAGGAAATCAGACAGAGTGATTCTCTTCAGTACCCAGTTCATGGATGAGGCTGATATCTTAGCTGGTAATTTTTGGTTTTCATTTGTATATCTTAGTGAGAAATTAGGGACATGTATAGACGGTGAATAGCGATGGTCTATAATCTCCATCTCGCTGGTTACTTTATTGGTGAGAATTTTTGCATAACTGCATCCCAGATTACTTTGTCCTATGGAAATATTCTGCTTTGGTTCCACAGCAGCAGAGGTTGTAAAATATCCAGTTCAATTTGAGAGACATGGCATTTTTATCCAGTAGGGATGTCAGTTGGCTTGAAACACATTGTTTACTTGCTTGATACCTTTTCTAACTAGACTGTCTCTATTTTAGTATATCATGCTTCTAAAATGCATTATTTGTTAATGGATTCACTTACGAATAGTGAAGAACTCATTCCTTAATACAATTTCCATTTTGGTTCTTATAATTAGATAGGAAGGTGTTTATATCCCATGGCAGGCTGAAGTGTGCTGGCTCTTCACTGTTCCTGAAGAAGAGATGGGGCATTGGCTACCGTTTAAGGTATGGTTCATATAACATTGGAGACATGTTGGGATATGTTGAAAACGCTAAGGGAAGGTGAGATTGTGGAAATCTCACTGAAAATATAAGGATGGTAAATCTGATTTTAAATAAATATTGGGAAAACATTTTCATAATATGCTCCTTGTAAAGGGTAATTTAGTGATATTTGAACATTTTTCTCTTACCAGATGTCAGGAGTATAATTTTGTTCATCCTGACTCTGCAATAGTACCCTCCTTGCTAGTTTCAGCAACTTCATTGTGTTTGGTGATTCTTTTCTATATCCTTTTATCATGACAGTAGCTTTCATCCTTAAGTAACATCCTTTACTTATGACATATGTCTTGGTTACTTCTCTCATTGCTGAGACAAAATACCCAACACCAAAATGAAGGAAGGAAAGATTTATTTAGCTTACAGTTTGTGGAGGTTTCAGTACATACTTGGTTGGCTCCGAGACAGAAGACAGCAAAGCAACAAGAGCAAGGGGGAATGGCAACTGAACAGCAAAGCAGCCAGAGCAAAAAGGAGGAATGGCGGCAAGCAGCTTCTTTCCCTGCCTTACTTTGTAAACAGGCTACCCCCACCTAAGGGGCATGTAGCTCTCACATAATCTCCATGCCCTCCTCTTCCACAGGCTCAGGATGTATACAAAGTAAGCACCCTGGCTTCCTGCTGAGTCACTTAACCAAACCTCTAGACTCCCCAAGTTGACTCAATGTATCAACCATAGCACTCCACCCCTTGTCAACTTGGCAACCAGATACATTTCTTTAAACCAGTTTCCAGGTACAAAGACATTATATTCCATTAGAACTATAACATTTCACCCCCTAAGACTCATGCACATCCTTTATGCAAAAGGCCTTTAGTCCATCTGCAAGAGTTGCCAAAGTCCTAACAGTTTCAGTACTGCTCAAGAGTCCAAGTCCCAAGTCTCCTCCGAGATGAAGGCAAACTCTTATCTGTAACCCCCTGTACAAATGAAAAGTTAAACACTTCCAACATTCAATGGCACAAAATAAGCAGTACCATTCCAAAAGGCACAAATGGGGATACAGAGCACTGGGGCCAAAGCAAGTTCAAATTCCAGCAGGGTTAATGTTATGTCCTGTAGTTCTATGTCCAGCATCTGAAGCAACTTGTGGCACACTGTGAACTCTAAAGGGCTTGCATGAGTCCACCCCTATGGCACTTCCAGTGGTTACAACTTCCACGGCTTCTCTCTTAGGCCCACCTTGCTCCCTCCCTGCAGCTTTCCTCAGATGATCCACGGTTCTGGCTTTTCTAAACTTCTGAGGTCTCCAGGGCACCTTTTGCTTCACACTCACAGCCTCACACACTGCCCTCTCAGGGGCACACTGCCTGGCCTCCCAGGCCTTCTGAAATCTGGGTGGAAGCCTCTTGACCCTCAGAACTCTTGCATTCTCCATGCACCTAAAGCCAGGGCCACAGGGATGATGCCAAGGTCTGCTGCTACCTGGAGCAGTAGCCAAGTTTTCCTCTCTCTTGGCCACAGGGGT